GAGAGAGAGAAAGAAAGAGAGAGAGAAAGAAAGAAAGAGAAAGAGAGAGAAAGAGAGAAAGAGAGAGAGAAAGAAAGAAAGAAAGAAAGAAAGAAAAGAAAAAGAAAAGAAAAGAAAGGGAGAGAGGGAGGGAGGGAGGAAGGAAGGGAGAGAGAAAGAAAGAAAGAAAAAAGAGAAAGGGAGAGAGAGAGAGAAAGAAAGAAAGAGAGAAAGAAAGAAAGAGAGAAAGAGAGAGAGAAAGAAAGAAAGGAACAAAGAAAGAAAAAAGAGGACAAGAGAGGATAACTGTAGGTTTGGTACAAGATGAATGGTAGAGAATATACTCAACTCTTGACCAAAAACTTAAAAAAAATAAATTCATATGAAAATGCAAAAATATACCACAGCTGAAACAAGTTTGTGGAGAAAAAAAAAACACAATGAGTGAAATAAGTCTAGTTACTTTTTTTTAAAGTTTAGATGTGCTTTGTGTGTTTTGCCTGTGTGTCTACACACGCACATGTGTGTCTAACGAACGGCTCTGAGGTCAGAAGGTGGCTCCCCTGAAACCACACTTACAGATGGCTGGGAACTGACCCAGGTCCTCTGGAGGAGCAGGAAGTGCTGTGAAGCACTGAGCTTTCACTCTCTCTCTCTACACACACACACCACACTCACACACACAAACACACACACACACACCACACTCACTCACACACACATTCTCTCTCTCTCTCTCTCTCTCTCTCTCTCTCTAATAGCTTCAAACTGAGTCTTATGGCTACAACGTCAATACCATGTGAATCGCATAGGAAGACAGGAACCGCGAGCCCAAACGTAGGGGCACAAATATGCCAAGCTGATTTTTTAAAATTTTAGTTGCGTGTTTGTTGTTACTTTGTGTGTGTGGAAGAGAGGTACAGGACACATGTGCCACAGTGGTGGAGGTCAGAGGACAAGTTTTAGGAATCAGTTCTATCCTCCTCCATGGGATGAGGGAATGAATTTGGCTTGTCAGTCTTTTAAGGCACCTCTAGTCACCACGGCATCCTGTCATCTCCCAGCTGAATTTTGGCAAAAGTGCAAAAGCAGTTCATTGTGGAGCGCAAACCTGACCCATGGACATCTAAAGACGAGAAGAGCTCAGGCAAAACCTAACTCAAACTGTATCACGGATGTAAGTACAACATATTAAACACTTAAGAATACACGAAATACAATGTTTTAGATCTAATGTGAGACAAGCTAAGGTCAGTTCATTTAAGGAAAAATGTGTAAACTGTGCTTCATCAAAGCTGAAAATGCTACTCTGAGAAAGTCTTGTGAACTTAGAAAAACAGGCTACAGATTGGGAGAAATACTAGTACCTAGAGTCTCAAGAATGCTCAAAACTCAGCAACACAAAAGTAAATCCAATCAGAACATGAGTGAAAGGCATCTACCAAAAAGGATACATGCACACAAACAAATATTAACGAGATTCTGGCCTTATCAGCAAGTAGGGAAATAGAAATCAAAACTGCAGGAGTGATAGGGAAGACGGGGCCGGCGAAGGCACCTGTGGCAGCCAAGCCTGGAGATCCAAACTAGCCACAGGCTCCTCGTGGTGGAAGGAGAGCACCGTCCCTCGGAGTCGCCCTCTGACCTCCACACGCGTGCTGCAGCAGGACTGCGTGCGCACCCCCCAAACGTGCAATAACAATGGCGGCGACAAGTGTCTTAGAAAACCAGTGAGTTATTTCTGTGCGTCAGAACGGCTAAAGTGAAAACTAGCGACACTCCCGAATGCCGATAGACAAGTCCCGTGTGGTGGTGGCGGCACAGAGGGTTGGAAAGTTCCCTCCGAGAAACAGTGGCAACCTCTCGGCCGGCACATGCAGCTGCTGTAGGCTCAACCAGCGATTTTAAAAAAGGAGCTTCCCTCGGGGAAAACGGCAGGTTTCACCAGACGGCTTCACCACTGAATTCTACCAGACGTTTACAAAAAAGGATTAATTCCAAAATGTTGCAAATACCTCAGGAAATACCCCGCAACTCATGTTACCTGGTATGAAGATCAGACAAAGACGTAAGTACATAGTCTTTAAACAGCTGAACACACCTTCAAATGGAAAAGTTTTGAGAAACTTTCAAATAAAATTTAACTTAAAACAGAAGCCTGCGTGTTTTGCTGAATAGCTTGTAACCACGCTGGTTACTATAATATTTAGAATAGAGTATTACACACAAACCCTGCGACTTTAGGGCCCTGTTGCCCTGCTAGGGCACTGGGTCCGTAGAGGTCTCCTAAGAAGACTGCAGGAATGTGCTACCACACCTTGCAAACGGCTGTCTCCTTTGTGGGGTTTCTGTGCTGTTCTTGGACAGGTCTAGCTACACGGGCCAGGTTGGCCTAAGCAGATGACAGTCCCAGCCTCCCAGGCACCTACCCTCCAGCTCCTTGAGGAGATTTAGCGCAAAGTATTGTCAGTTCGTTCTGCATGATTTTTAAATGTAAACCTACTTTGTGTGTATGAGTACGTCGCCAGGATGGATGTATGGAGGCCAGCCCACCAGGCTACCATGATTTGTTTCTGGGAGACAGATGAGTAACTAGTGTTCAATCCTCAAGGGGTAACTCAGAAATCCTATCATCTTGGCCGGTCACGTTGCGGTCTCCAGGGCTTGGTTTCTCTCTCCGTACAATGAGGAGTTGCGACGGCTCCAATGATGAATGCCACGTAGCCAGCCTACGCTTTCCAAGTTCACCTCTTCTTGCTAAGTTCGACAGAAAACAGACGGTCTGCTTCTAATTGTACGTTGTGGTCTCTCAAACAGAAACACGCAGTGGGCCCGGAGAAGCACCGCGGTCCGGTCCCGGTCCGGCGTCCCGGTCGGCGTGGAGGGACTCCGCTTTGGGGCGCAGGCTCGCGAAGCTGGGTCCGACGACACTCAGCCGGCCTCGCTCGGAGGGAAATTAACAGTCGTGTGACGTCCAGGCGGTTTCGCGTTAGAGCAACTCAGAGGGCGATTCCGGCCACTTCCACTCTGGGACGACGAATGAGCCTCGAAAACCGTGACTACAGGCGCCTGGAGCGGCGGTGCTCGCCCACGCTCCCAGGACTCCCTCCGCCCGTCCCGCCACTCTCTTAGAAGTCGGGCTGGGACCGAGCGGCGGCAGGAGCCTCTCGGAGCTACGGCTACTCCGAGCGGAGGAAGGGAAAGCGCCCCGGAGGCTCGGCTCCCGGCGGCCTGGAGTGGTGGGCGGGGCCGGGGCGGGGCGGGGCTTAGGGAAGGGGCGGGGTCGCCTGGCGGGGCGGGGCCTAGGGAGCGCGCGGGAGAAGGGGCGGGGTCGCCGGGCGGGGCGGGGCCTAGGGAAGGGGCGGGGTCGCCGGGCGAGGCCTAGGGGCGGGGCGAGGCTTAGGAAAGGGGCGGGGTCGCCGGGCGGGGCGGGGCTGCGGGGCGGGGCGTAGGGAGGGCGCGGGAGAAGGGGCGCGGCGGCGTGGGCAGGGGTTTCAGTCCCCGCCCGCAGATTTCGGCCTCCAGCCCTCCCGGCAGCTCCGGTTCCGTCTCGGTTGGCTTCTGTCCTGGCTGCCACCCTGGACGAGTGGCTGGCTCAGACCCCTGTGTCGGCTCCTCCTCCCCCCCCGGGCCAGGCGCCGGTGCTGTGTGCGTGCTGTCTGGAAGTTTCTACACCCAGAGACTTCGCACCGAAGCAGCCCAGGAAAACTACGAATAGACCTGGGTCATGATCAGAAAAGTGTTCCCAAGATCCAACTGTTAAAATAGATCTTCGTGGTTAAGAAGTTAATTACCTTTAAATTCATTGTTAAACATTTTTGTTATAAAATCAGATTGATCCATAAAAATACATTCAAATGTGACAGCGAGGCTGGTCCTTGAGCAGCTGGACCCGGAACGCTGGGAAACAAACTTCTGCTTATTACATGACTTGTGTCACTTCACACATGACATTTTTCTGGGGCTAAACCGGGGCTGTACCGTTTTTTCTAGTTTGTGAATTTGTCTTGTGATATCCACCCCAATGCTAGGCCAGAGTTAATAACCAAAGAAAGTGAGACTTTCAAGGAAAGACAAACCTTTATTCGCTCACGCAAAGTGTACTTCCGCTTCTGTGGCTGCAAAATGTTTGATCTATCTTCTTGGGAAAACAAATGACAGTTATACACATTCCCTAGAGAAGATGGATTAATGGGAGGAAAACTATAACCAGGATGGTAAGTTTAGCAATTTAACAATCACTGGATTGACCGCACAGAAGAGTACAATATAAAAAGGTTCGGAACTTCTTTATTTAATGTTAAATTTGTCAGGAAAGGGCATTAAAAGATTGGTGAAAAGAGAGAATTCCTTTTATTCAAATACTGAACATCATAGAAGTAAAAATTAAAGAAAGCCTTCAAGGCTGGAGAGATGGCTCAGAGGTTAAGAGCTCTGTTTGCCCTTCCAAAGGTTCTGAGTTCAGTTCCCAGCAACCACACACTGGCTCCCAACCATCTATAGTGAGATCTGCTGCCCTCTTCTGTCCTGCAGGCACAACACTGTATAAATAATAATCTTGACAATTCTCCCTCCAGCTAGGGTCAGCTCATCAGCCCGAACTGGTTTTTCTCTGTCAAGCTTGCTGTGAAGTTCAGTCACTGAGACATTTTGTAGCAGCGACCTCATAGTAATGTGTTATGAAACAGTAGCAAAGTTACAGTCATGAATTAGCAGAGAAGGTTAAGAGCCCCGCTTTATAGAAACCCAATCTTCATGCGCTGCCAGTAGTCTATGAAATGGGGAAGGAGCTGTTGCCACTCGGGCTGGAATGCAGGGCCTCCCCTGCTTAGTCCTGTCTCCTGGGGAAGCTAGTTTTCTTTATCTCAGTTTCCCTGTCGCAGTTGGTTATACTACACCAGCTGTCAGTGAACTGTAAAGAAATCTTTTCAAATTATTATCACTGTTACTCTCCTCTCTGCGAGATTGTGTCGGGGGCTGAGATTGTGGTCTCCTTCTATTTTGTTGGTTCTGTAATTACATTCAGCTTGTCCTAATGCCTTTATCTGCTGAGCCATCTCCCCGGTCCTGTTATGCTTATGGTTTTTTGTTTTGTTTTGTTTTTTTGGTCTTTTTTTTAAATTTTAATTTATTACAATATATTAACTTTGTATCCCAGCTGTAGCCCCCTTCCCAATCTTGCCCTCCCTTCCTCTTCTCCTCCCATGCCCCTTCCCCAGTCCACTGATAAGGAGGTCCTCCTCCCCGTCCATCTGACCCTAGTCTATCAGGTCTCATCAGGAGTGGCTGCATTATCTTCCTCTGTGACCTGGTAAGGCTGCTTCCCCATCAGGGGGAGGTGATCAAAGAGCTAGCCATTGAGTTTATGTCAGAGACGGCCCCTGATCCCCTTCCTAGGGAGCCCATTTGGAGATTGAGCTGCCATGGGCTACATCTGAGCAGGGGTTCTAGGTTATATCCGTGCACTCCATTGGTTGGCGTATCAGTCTCAGGAAAGACCCCTGGGCCCAGACTTTTTGGTTCTGTTGCTCTCCTTGTGGAGCTCCTGTCCCCTCCAGGTCTTTCTATCTTCCCCTTCTTTCATAAGATTGCCTGCACTCTGCCCAAAGTTTGGCTATGAGTCTCAGCGTCTGCTTTAATACCCTGCTGGGTAGAGTCTTTCAGAGGCCCTCTGTGGGTAGGCTTCTGTCTTGTTTATGCTTATGAATTTTAAGCCTGCTTGTTAAGCATTTAACCATATTTCTCAAGTTATTATAAATCTATCAAGTTTATGTTAAAACACTTTGGTTCTTTGATAAATGTTCATTGAGCTTATTAATTTACTATGCTAAATTTCACATTTACATAATTTATAAATAGACTTTTCTTAAGCATTGCATGTTAGTCAGAAAAATGAACAGATCAAACAAATCCAATTCCTTTTATATCTAAAATTGTTTGTAATTCCGATTACGACATTTCTCAGAAAGTGTGAAATCCGCCTGTTGTATCTGTCTCTGATACTTCACGTCCTAAAAAGGCAGCCTACACCCTGTAGTGACCCCGACCCTGGGCACTTAGTAAAGTCTTCCGGAGTGCTGGAACTGCTGATTTGAAGGGAGGACACAGCTTTCTCTTCCTGGGACAAAATGCCTGTGAAAATCCACTCGACAGGAGGAAAGGTTTACTCTGGCTCACAGGCTCAGAGGTGTCCCTCCTCGGTCAGCTCTGCACAGTTTCCCTGGGCCTGTGACAACGCAGCACGTCGCGCCGGGAGCACGTGGTGGGCAAGGCTGCTACCTCATGGCAGCTGTCGGTAGAGAGAGGGAGAACAAGAAGCTGCGGGTGCCAAGGTCACCTGGCTTGGCTTTCCCTGGTTAGGACACTCATTTTTTTTGTCTGTTTGGACCCTGACTCTTAAAAGGTTCTATGTCCTCTTCATAGCACCAAGCTGAGGACCAGGTAGGTCTTCCGCACGGGTGCCTTTGGCGGATGCTCCAGACACCTGCCATTGCAGGGTTGGGTGTGTGTGTGTGTGTGTGTGTGTGTGTGTGTGTGTGTGTGTGTGTTTCGGCTGTAGCAGAGGTGGGGGAGGGGTGCTCCAGACTCGAGCTGCAGCAGGAGACTCCCAGCCTGCTGAGCTTTAAGCTCTGGCCCTGCCGCTGACTGACTGTCGTGAACTGCTTTGTGTCCTGTTTTCCACCTGGAAAGGGAGTGCTGGTGGACACCTCACAGAGCCGGGAGCCTCCCGGCCATCACTAACCCTCAGCAGCCCGGCCATCACTAACCCTCAGCAGCCCGGCCATCACTAACCCTCAGC